CAAATGTAACTGATTTAAGGCATCTAAACAGTGATGCCCTGATGCACTGCAGCAACCTGCGGTCCTGGTCTTTCACTGTAGCGCGTGCCATGATAGAGCGAAGCCGATTAGCTGATGACTTCCTACAGTACAGATGTAATAACTAGGATGGGCCAGCGAGCAAGACCGTCTCGATTTGTGCTTTTAGGAGGCTTTTGAGACGTCACATCCTCCTGGAACTTTCGCATAGCTGGTCACTGGCCTGAGAGATGACAATAGTGTATAAATCAAAATAGAAGTAAACCAGACAGCCTGGAGACTCAGGGGTCACTGTGACTGGCCGACTCTGCTACACCATACCGGTGGGTGAAAATGCTTTGCTGTTGGCCTAATTACCCAGGGAGTGATTCTCATTCAAATCAGAAAGTCAAGAAATTAAAACTTGATTAACAAAACAACATATACTGTATATAGAACACAGTTAACTGTAAGTGTACAACTGTAGGTACGCTCACTCATGGGCCACTGAACTCTACATTTCAGCTTCAATATTAAAAACCATTTGATTTTTTACTCTTTGACAGCAGCGAAACTGAGTGCACTGACTCAAAGAGATGTTTAATGCGGGAAAAGAAGAACTGTACATTAATATACCTACTATGGGATATGTCAAAAGAAGTGCAACCTGAAATATACCTTGCTGAAGCAAAAACGTCCTACACTGACAGGTTGAAGGAACAGTTTTGAAAACAAGACTATGAGGGGACCTGATACAAATAATCAAAATCCCCCAAACTACTGACACCGTTATCCCATCCGTTTTCTCCTGAATGTATGGCGAAACACACACCTGAGGGCAAACCTGGGGACTACGCAGAAGCGGAGAACAGGTGGCACTTCTTCATGTAAACGGCTATGGGAGTATGAAACAAGCTTTCCAGCCATGCTGCTGACTGGATGATATCCTTGGATCAATTAACTGCTAACTACCAAACAGATTACCAGCATCCAAACAAACAGACTCCTCTCATCTTTTCTGTTCTAGCATAACAATACCCTGTCAAAAGTTAAATTCAGACCACAGTAATAGACCATGACTGAAACTGCAACAAAAGCAGTTATATATCGCCAGTCTATGGCTGTACATAAAACAAAAGAAGGCTTGTACACAGATCAATATCTAACTTTAGTGTATTCTATGAACATGGGGGATGACTGAAAGGTCATTTTGAAAAGGTAAGACCACAAAGTCACAGGAAGTGTATTTATTTCAAGTTTACCTAATTATGTAAAAAACTACCACTTTCAACAATAAAAAAAAACTTGGGACAGTAGAGATTAACTCCCCTTTTCTGTAAAAACAAGAAAGAGACAGTTAACATTCTAAAGAATTAGAATAATACAATTTATTGTTCAATACTGTACAGCTTTGTATGAAAAATGAAGCATGTGTTTACCAAGATGGAAGCTACTGATTTGGCAGGTTTCACTTTAATATGACTTATAGACCAGGATGCACTGTGAAAAGTGCCACTTCTACAGAGGACAGGGACAATATGCTGTCCTTTTGTTTGTTGAGAAGCTCAATTCATGCAAAACAAACCAGAAAGAAGATCCAGAGGCCAAGGTGAAAAGAAAGAAGCCAACAAAGAAAAATGTTGCCATCTAGTGGTAAGCACGTCAGGAACTGAATCGGCACAGTTGCACTCCCCTGAGTGAGGTGACCAAAGTGTTAATTTGCCTAAGGGCACATGGGATAAAGGGTAAGGAAGCAATTAAAGAAAAATAACATTAATTCCAACTAATGATATTTTATTGATCCTTGTTTCCTTCTAATTGAGAACTGTAACACATTCAACTTCAGGCATAACACCTTGCCCTAACCTCAGAAGAGACTTAAATAGGCCTAGTTAGTGAGAACCACATGAGGACACCTATACGACAACTGACTTCAGAAAGTTAGCAACAACAGTTAAGAGAAACCTCTTACAGAATGGTTACATGTCTGCCAGGTCTTAAACACTTGTTTTCCTGGACCTGTTAAGGCACTGTGTTGTGGCCCCGAGCTAAGCTAAATGATGAGAAGGCCTCGTTCACTGTTCTTCACCACTCTTTAGGAAATGGAGATCTGGAGCAGCGGACACATGACAACCTTTTCATGGCCACAACTTGTCGGAAGCAGCTGAATAATTGGTCTCAGATGACGACGAGACCTCTAGTACTCCCTGTAGAAAAGCCTATCCTGTCCAAGGACCAACTGGAAGTGCGGCACTGACTTCAGTTTTCCCACAGATTACGGGGAGAGAGGCAGTAAAATCACTGTGGGTCTCACAGGCCTGTAACACTGTAATCAATGCACACTCAAGTGCTCGTGCGACTTGGCCAGATGCTGAAAGCAGGGGAATCATTTGCTTTCCTATCACATAATTCTAGACCAAAGACACAGCCAGAAATGGACAGTTGTAAAATCACAGCAGTGAAATAAATGACACTTCAAGGGCTTTAACTTCATCATACACTCTGGCTACCTCTTTGTTGTCAGACTAGATGTCATGATGTTGATATGGATTTAAACCTTATATCTTCACATCCAAAAGCATTAATCTTGTATCTGGCATTTTTTTAAATTAAGTAGAGAAACATTTTTTTATCCAATTTACTCAGAAAAATCAAATCCATTCTAAAATGAAAATGTTTAGATTTCCGTTTGGCTTTGCAGTCAGTCCTTCCACCAGCTTTATTTGGTGCCTGCTGTGAAACAAATATAAAACAAAATCCAAACTTTCTAAAAGTGTGGAAGATCATTTTTGCAGTTAAAAGTTTATTATATGACATCTCTGATAAACTGAAATATCATTCAGTAGGTACTCAGGGAAAAGAAACTAAAGATATGGACTCCTCTATAAAATCTAAACTTTTTGTATGGAAACAAAGGGCACATTTTTCATTTTCTCTCATTTCCCTTTCTGCTTCTAGATCCAGCAGAATTATGCAAATGGTGAGGCAGGGACATCCACTCTCTATTGCATTACTGAAATATCTCTATTGGTAAATAACACCAGTTACACCCTACATAGTGCAAACTGGTCAAAAACATAACATAAAAAGACAAAAACGTAACTACCTTCTCCAGTTTTTGTCTTTTTCCTCCATATTTGTTCATCTTATCATTCTCCTTTTCCCCATCCATTCTACATGTGATGTGCATGCACTCAAGTGAGCAGTTTAAAATAGTTTTAAAAAAAGCACACCAATGAAAACACTGCGCTTCGATAAATAAAACTGGAAGTAGATCTCGGAGATTAGACCGATGAGCATTTTTTCAGAAAAAAAAATCAGAGAGAGAATCCAGGTCTCTGAAAGAAAGGTTGGAAATTACAGAAGCACTGAAGAATCACTTCAAAACAAAAAACAGAGGCGGTTGTGGTGGCAAGAAAGCTCATCAGTCGGATTAGAGGGGAGGAGGTGGGGGGGCACCTTGAGCAAAACGGTGTTCTCTGCTCCGAGACGGAACCCGAGCAGCAGGCTCCCCACCCATAGCAGCTGAGGACATCCCCAGCAACCTCTCTGTTCAAACACGCTGACCACGGGCCCCGCCCCCCGCCTCACTGCATCACATGTGTGGAGCGCTGTCCTTGACGAGCGCGAGTACGTGCAGCCTGCCCCACCACACTCCTGTCATTTGTAAAAAGCTCTGTGGTGCCGCTGGAATATTAGTTGACAGAGGTACAGAGGGCAGCTGCCATCGCCATCAAACCACAGAACACTCTGCTGCATGTGGTCTCAATTAGGAACAATCTTGTTTTCCCCGCCGTACGAAAGAAAAAGAAAAAGGAAGGTTTTCAAGAGCTGCGGAGCCCGGAAATTCAATTTTACATCAAGTTTATTGAACCAGGGTTCCAACCAAACCACTTCTCCTGCTGCTCTCTCACACTTAAGTAAGCGTGACATCAAAAGGAAAGACAAGGAGGTTTAAATAAGGAATGCAGATGTTTAAGGCTGATAATTCCTTTATATGAAGGCAGGATTGGTTGGCTCCAAATGAAATATCTCACTGTGAAGAGCAGAACTATTAAGAGGATAACGATGTTTTAAAGCAGGTATTGAAAGGTATTTGAAATCTCTTTAGGTAAAAATGAACATATTTTTGGAAAGACTCACCCTCCAGTTTTGATTTGTGAACGTATTTCTCCAAATTTCAAGAAGTCAGAAATGGTAGATGGATTTTGTATTCCTAACTACATGTAACTGATCAGTTATGTGCTTGTGTTTTTGAAAACCTCAAAGGTATTTCTATAAGTAAAGAATACCTGAACAAATCTAATAAGATCAAAGGATTTCATTACATTCTCATAAAAAAAGGAAAACCTTTCACAGAGACAGCTTCTATTATCGGGGGACTAGTCTTTACATAGAACCAAGTTGACAACAGGCTGGCAAAAAAACACATTGATCACTAATGTTTTCATATCCTACAACGTGGAAATTTTTACAGCTGCCCCTGAACACAGCCATACATCTTCAAACAGCACACAATATTTCCTGTAATAAGTCTGGTATGTAATTAGATCTGACCTATTGCCCTTGGTCTCCACTGAAAACCAGACTTGGGTCTCAGTAGGGTAGCAAGAGTGTGTGGGAGAGACAGAAGATAAACAAACACCACTGGGACATGGGGAATAAATGACAATAAGGTAGGGCCTTACATCAACCATACCTGCCCCTCTGGGGAACAGCTTAACAGTCTTCTGAAAACCAAAAGGAAAGTTCCTCCGCTCAATTGATGATGCACTCGTTTTGTTTCATGACCACAGATATTACAATCCCATTGTGTGGTGTGGAAAATAAGCCATGAGTAGAGGCTATTTAGGCAGTACACTTCTCCCACCTTGCATTGTTTGAGCTTTGTCACTGTGAGAAGTAACTGGGGACTAATTCATATTTCTGAAGGCAAAAATGCCTTGTAACCTTCAGAGGTTGAAGGCTAACACGACATGGGACTTGTTCTATTCAACACTTACCAGCTGGACATAGGCCACTTTGTAATCAGGACGTTTCACCCTCTGGTTTAAGTGATTTCTCTTCTTATTCGTACCTGTGAAAGAATTAAAGTTCACCGGTCAATATTTTTGCCAGAAAAATGTAAGCTAATGTCTGTGCAAATGACAGGAGTTTGACAATCCTTTTTAAAGTCCTTTACAAGAAATATAAACCATTTTCCATCTGGGTGCCAACAACAGTTGAAACCGAACCCTTAGGAAGCTGCGAGCTTCCTGCAATAAAAAACCCGTCTGCACCCCCAGTAAGCAACATCAAGCATTGTGTCAGGGATGTGAAGGAATGTTTTTACAACACAAAGAATTCAATTGTGCTGGCAGGTCAGAGTGTTATTAATACAATCTTTATCCTTGCTGGTGTATACGGTTCTGCTGGATATCCTTTCACCCCTTCTTATTTTACCTGCATTTTGTTTCAGTGCTCAGCATGGCATCAAAGAGTAACTTCACAAATGCCTAAACATCAGCTCCTTTTCACTGCTCAGAAAATAACCTGCATTTGGAACGCTGTTGTGTTCCGCAATCAAAAAAAACAAAAGTGTTTTGCCTGAACAGACCTTTTCAACTGATATCCACCCTGAGGGCTCTCATCCAGAGAATAAACTAAGCAAATTTTTCCCCCGAAACACCTGCGGAGACGTTTGGCCAACTGTGTCACTGGGGTGAGAGAAAACAAGAGCAGCAGAACTGGCACCAAAGAATGACAAACCAAATTGGACACTTCTATTATCGGGCAGCCTCTCCCTTCTCTCCACTAAGATGTAAAAAGGGCCCAACTGGTAAATCTTGTGTGTGTTTGTGAGGCTTAAACAAAAAGTTTTCCGGCCAGCCTGGCATAATTATAGTGTGATGTCTTTTTCGTGGTTTGCCTTTGGAAAACAAAACACACTGACAGGTTGACAGGGGATACAGTCCACAGAATGCAAAGGTAAAAGTGATCATTTTCACAGCCATGAAGATGATAAGTTCACAGAGGACTGCTGGGCAACACAGCCAGCATCTGAAATGTTTTACAACCCATAGAAAAGGAAGTGGGGTCTGCAAGAAATGACCACCAGCCCTTTATGATCTGATGATTCACCTATTTAACAAATTAGACTTACATTTTATTACCTTTTAATATGGGCAAATGTTGAAAAAAAGACTTCAGCTGCCTTTTCAAAGAGCAAGCTTCAGTTGACATATGCAACAATGTACACGATGCATGCAGAAAGAATGCTTAATAATTAGCATGTGACTTTAAAAGCATTTCACAAGTGCTCACTTATTTTATTTTAGATTTTTGGTTTGCACAAGAGCTTTGCCAATTGTGAACATCTGTACAACTTAGATTTTGAAAGTATACAAGCTGTAAACTGTAAACATAAAAAATAGCTTATACTGTATGTTAAGAAACGGCTAGGAAATTATTCAACCGATCAGAAGTTAAAAGAAATACAAAGGTAAACTAAAAGTGTCCTATGGGAATTGCAAGCAGCTTTCTCAGCAGAAAAAAGACAGGCAAGCAGGTCAAATACTGGCAAACCATAAGACTGCACAGATGTCCACACAGGGCATATCTTGTTTTTGAACTACTAACTCTGTTCCTTCAGAACAGTCACTGTTGGGTAACACATTGCAGACCACATGGAAACTTGCTCCACAAATACAGACATTTGTGAATAATAGGGCTCCTCTGTGCCGGGATGCTGTTTCCACACAGGCATGCTTCACCCTCACTCCTTTCTTTATACTTTCAATCGAGTGGAACGCGTGACGTAACGGGTACCAACCCAACACACCGATGAATCAGTCCATCCACAGTTTATAACTTGACTTGTAAGCGCTCTGGTCATGCCAATGAGTTTCTTTTAGTATTACCGAAGGCGTGAATCAGACAGCGCAGATACCATTTAACAGCTACCAAAGTGGGCTTCCAGTGGCTCCAACCCAGCTAAACACAGTCATTATGTCTGAGTAAGAACCTCTCTATCCCTTTTCTCCAGAAAGCAACTACCTCCTGTGCAGGAAAAACTGGGAGTTCACCGGTTCCCCTCGTGAAAACAAAAAAAAAAGGTTTAGATGATCATAAACGAAACGATGATAATGTTCTTTCAATGACATGGTGAGTCACCTGAGTCACTGGCTTTCAAACACTGTGGTTCGTGTGGGTGAAACCTGGAAGTGCTGCGAAAACAACAAAAAAAGGGGGCAGAACCTCAAGGGAATGCACTGGCAGAAGGAAAATATATCCCTATCAGTTCAGCAGTCAAAATAAAGGAGTATTATGTGCAGTACACAATGAGGCTACTGCCTGCCGGGGAACCTTCAGCCATTTTGAATTTGTTCTCATTATGCCAGCAGGAGAGATGCGAGAGGAAAAAAAAACGTCTTCTTACAACGTGGGTGGGGGTTGGGGGGGGGGGTCTTTACTTTGACTAAACATACTTGGACCTCAAATCCTACGCCCAGCCCCCTCCTTTTCTGACTTTGATTAATTGATTCGGCAAAGCACAACAGAACCACCACAGAGAGGGCTCACGGTCGGGCCTACATACCCTTCTGAAGGAAAGGGTAGACAAACAAGGAGGAAAAGGTGAACAAGTCAAGTAGCACATCTGTTGACGGCCTGCAGGGAAAGAGAATGATGAAGCTGTACTCACAGTACTGGATCCTCGTTCTCACAGCTCCTACAGGTACACTGTAGATTTTTTCAAGGTAGTTCTTCACATCACACTTGGTCATTCTGGGTAACAAAGAGGGGAAAAAAATGAATGAGCCAGTCCAATACAGAATAGACCCTTTGTTTGCTATTAATTAAAATGCAAATTTGTCTTAAATTTAGATTTGGAACACAGAAATTTGAAAACTGAAAACAAAATATTGTCCTATACAAAACACCTTTACATTTTATTCTTGTTCATACATGTTAAGTGTTACTTTTACTCAATGAAAACTGTGTGCCTCTAATAAATATGCTTTACGTGAAATCTTACTTTAATATCTCTGTGAAAACTAACAGATGGCCTTGAATTTTGAATATTGTCAGCCTGGAAGAATTAAATAGTATACCAAGCACTGTAAAATGGCCACCAAGTGCACTCCTCCTCACCCTGTGTTTATGCCAACTTGAATTGTGCATAGCTCTCTTCCCACAATGAACTAATTTTCATCTATTTTTTTATTTGAACAAAAAGGGACAAAACTTAGCACAGCGCGGCTGTTCAGCTGAGCAACCTTTTCCGATTCTAATCCATAATTACTTGAAGGCCGAAGCTTCCTAATCAAGTAACGGAAACTTTTGAGGAAAAAAGAAAAACCTTCTGGAAGCAAGCGGGAGGAAAAAATCATGGAATCACTTAATCCAGTAAACAGAATCCATCAAAATGTTCTACGCGCATAAGCTTCTAAAGCACAGTCTCCTTAGAGATGGACAAACAAAAAGCAGGGCCAAGCTTCCTTCGTCAGAACCCGGAGCGTTTGTGGTGGGCCGAGATCGTGATGGAGCTCGGCAGCAAGCACGCCATTAGATGTCTGTGTTTTTGTTTAGACAGCGAGTCCTAGAAAGCAGAAATTTAGTCTGGCAGTGAGGAGGATGGGTTACACAATGGAATGCTTTCCAAGTCATTAGAAAGGAAGGCCTGAAGGTGATTAAAGACTGGAGCACTTTTTCAGGAGGCCTGCTCACGTTGGCTGTTTGGATTCCTCTCCGTAACCAGTTTGTGAGGGACTGACGCATTTCTGAGGTTTATTTCTGTAACACCTGGCATTATGCAAAGGAAACTGGAGGTGGAAAATGATACAGTATATAGCCAAAAAAAAACTTGTGCAGGGAACTTAAAAAATGAATGCATATGTATATTTATGTAAAATACACAAACACACAGTACACACATACACACTTGTATTTCATATAGATTTGTATACCCTATGTGTACACAAACATGTAGACTGAGTGGCATTAAAAACACTGCAACTGTGACCGGTCCCAATTTGTTTCGTTTCAATGCCTTTCTTGTCTTGTGACACATGGTTTGTAAACCATGAAAAAAATCTACAAAACTTCATTTTTACAATCTTTTATTTTGCTGCAGGAAACCTTGAGACCTTCCCTCAAACCCTATACATATGCAAAAGCTCGTATATGGGTTTTCCGTACTCCATTCCTGATGATGCAGATCCCAAAGCCAGCGTGTTTTATAGATCAGGCTAAATAGTTTCTAAAGATGGGAATATGTGCAAGTTATTGATCAAACAGGCAGGTTGTGTGCACAATCTACTTGGTCTATATTAGCTGAAAGTCTCTGTTCCGAATGATTTCTGATGTACTTTAACAGATCTACAATTAATTACCTTTAAAGTCTTCAGACACAAGTGATTTAATGGTTACCTATAACTCCTGCAGGAGTAAGGCACGAAAAGCCCATGTTACTCCATAATCAAATAATGGTATTTATTTTTTAAAAAGTATGTAAAAACTAGAATGAAAAATAAGATGAAAACAGACAGCCTAATACTATTGCAATGTATTAATTTTCAGGTCATGTTAACCCATATACTGGTTGACAAGTTTGGAGTCTGTTGGAAAAGCACTTATAAGCTTATACACAAATAATTTAATTGTTTCTGGCACAACAACCTGTGCAACCTGTGTTTGTAATGGGTTCTGTAATGTTTTCTTTCAAAGCTTCATTTTATAGTTTCTGAATGAAAATCTAAATAAAGAGACTTGTTATACACAAAAAGAACAGCAACTGTATTCTGGGGTTAATATTCTGCAGTGTCCTAAGACATTTTACAGATGCTCTGTGTCTTATGCAGGGTAGCAATAAGCTTACAGTACATTTTGGGGACCAGTGCATTGTGTTACACAGGCAGATTGTGTTAGCCTACCATCCTCCATAAAAATACTACCTTCTTTGGTAGTACTACAGAAGACAGCTGGGATAAACAGGCAGAAGCCCCTTGTGAAGAATATGTGTATTTGGCAGACAGACATTATACTTAATTTCACAAAACACCAGCTGTGGCTCTAAAGCAGCTCAAATAGCACCACACACCAGAGGGACTGATCGACAGGGCTCGGCCATGACCTGGCTGTGCACGACCTCTGCTGCGCACATGTACTGTAGGCTGTGCTTGACTGCGCCTTGTACAGGTGTCCTAGTAGACTGTTTCCATACACATTACATGTCAAGAAGGAACTAGAAATGCAAATCTTCCCCACATAATGTAGAATCAGTACCCATGAAACAAACAACATGAGTTTCTAATATCTGTCAGAATGTCAGTGTCAATTTCGGGCTTGTCAGGTGTGTTTCAGGCTTGTCGAGTTTCATTGCATGTCCCAGGATTGTGACCCCAGGACATGCAGTGTTTGCAATAAGCTGATTAAAACTCACAGAGAATGGGCAGTCACTTAATACTTTTATTTTTTAATAGTAATTCCGTAAACCCATTTACTACATGCACAAAAATAACAGTTTTATGCAATATAAACTCTGCAGTGACTAATTATTTTTCCTTTCCCAGTGACAGGATAAATAAGAAATAAATGGCACTTTTCCAGTTTCCATGTATCAGTCTCAGCAATCAAAAATCTGATTTCTAAAACAAAAATGTCAGGCTTTCAAGTCCCCTGTTCAATGCCATATACAGTGAACCCCTGGCCTTTGGCCCAGGCTTTGAATTATCACTGTGATTCATCAACAGCTCCTAAGAGCCTGGTCACGATGGGAGACCTCTAGGGAAAATCAGTTTGTTGTTGAAAGTGGTGCTGGTGGACCAGTAGGAGGCACTCTCATCTTGACCACAATTTCCAAACCAGCATCTTCGTGTGATGATCATGGACACTGTGCAGTAGGATTGGCCATTCTTTGGATGACATTTTAACAGAGGTCCCACCCCAACTTACTTTTTCTAAAAGCAGGGTTGTTAACCCTAATGTCCTGGCCAAAGTCTATTCTGGGCTTGCACAATATGACCTACCTAACTTTCCTCTCTAATTTAACTGATAAAGCAATTCTTCACTGCTATACACAATCTTTCATCTAGTGGGGCTCCTGGTGTGTAACGCCTATGGCACATCACCAAGGTGTGTACATGCAGCATGGTAGATGAAGTTCACACTCTGCCATATGTAAAGCTGGGTTCCTTTGGGATACAAATGTGATATAACATGCTATTAGTTATTACATACAGTTTATACTTGTGTTGCCTTGGAGGAAATGTTAAATTATTGAAACAAACTCCTCAGGCACATGGTTTCCAGGCAATGGCAAGGGCAGAGTAAGCAGATATACTTAATACGGTTCTAAGGGTTCCAAAAGCCCTGGCAAATTCTTGTACAATTTGGCAAAGAACTTGCCATTATATCACCCCTAAGCAGCAGTGAGCGCACACACACACAAAACAAAACATTGTGCAACTTAATCGCACCTGTGTTGGCAACGGCTCTCCTGCACAGGATACAGCTCCACAAGAGGCCTGGAACAGCGCATACTTACGGCTTCAGGGAACACGAACAAAAGGCTGAGCGAACGGACAAAGACTCCCAAGCTGAAAATCAACTTTATATTGCAGTCATGTACTATAGGAGGTAACAAGCTCTTCTAGCACAAACCATACACAAGTGGGCTACGTCTGCGTTTCCGTTTCTCCCCGGTCGATCCCCTCTGTTAATTCCTCTTCATTTCAAGCTCTACTCAGGCATCACAGCTCTTACTAATGAATCCAAGTACTATACAACTGCAAGTGATTTTAAGAAAGCTGTCGTTATGGAAATTGCCAATTAGGAAAAGAGACCCGTCACCAACCCTATCACCTCCACTGGCAGTAAAACCAATAATAGTGTTCAAATATGAACAACAACAACCATGAAATGATTAAAAAAAACTTGCTTTGGGAATGCTTCCATTGAATTTGGCTTTACGTAACCTGAGTAATACTGCTGTTCTTAGGGGGATACATAACACTGTATAACAACATTCCAGACCATTCTTCTACAAGACAGACATACAAGTTTTATTAATAACACAAATTCTAATGCTAACACTAACCATATTATAAGATGCACTTTGACTAACGCTGTGCTCACTCGTGCATCTGTTAATGTCTGTTAGGGCTTTGGAACAATAGTTGGAGGGTTATGAATGTTAGAAAATACTATGAACACCTAAAACCGGATTATGCTGGCCATGCGAATCTCAATTCAAAGAAAGAGAGCAGTGCCTCTGGCCAGCTTTAAAAATAGACATAATACATATCCCTGCACTTTACTTCACTGCATCTTGAAAACTGCCTTCTTAATCACAGACATCCAATTCCTGTACTGGAGTGATATATCATATAACATTTAGGATATATCCTACAACACGTAGGATTTGTTTGTTGTATCTGAGAGAGCACATTCATTTTGTTTTCAAAGCTAACTGATGTGTTTTTCAGGACAACACTTGAAGACTTGAATTTGGAAAGTAACTGTGCAACCAAATGTCTTTCCAAGAACTAAAACACTGGATTGGACTCCACACTGCTACTCTGATTCAGTGTGTAACAGGATTCATGGTAGCCAGAGTTTGACTGCACTGCGGATCACAGTCAGTAACAAGAGTATACACTCTTTTTAAGGTCACTTTTATACCAAGTCACAAACTATTTGTTAGCCTGGTATATGCATCACAACATATGCTTTATTACATATTCAAAACACCTGTCTAATTAAAGAGGCTATGAAGAAAAAAGGAAAAACATACACAATCTGTTTTGAGACGCCTCCCACTTGGTCTTAACCAAAAAATGCCACTGAAATTCCATACAGTTAGCAGGAACTGAGGACAGGCTGCAGCTGTCATTAGATGTCTGTGTTTTCGTTTAAGGAAATCCTCCTAGAAAGCACAAATTTAGTCCAGTGATGGCAGGGTTTGGATTCTTGGAAGATAAAAAAGTCATTTTCAAAACCCATTAGTTTGGAGAATACCCACACCATGTCTAGCATGATTACAGTGCCTGCAGGAGATCCATCCAGTCAGGAGGTTTGGAAACAAACTCAAAGGGCATGCCATTTATAAACAGCAGTTCAGTTCTAGGAATTCTGCAGCGGACGGCTTTCGCATTCGCGGTTTCTGGGTTTAACAGAAACTGAAGCCTTGAAAATGCGAGAACACACTCGTTAATAAATACAAGTGTCGTGTCAGTATAAAACAATAAGTTAGCACTACACACGTCATACACAGGGGGATACCAGACTAATGTCTAGCTTAAATCTAAACTTCATCTTTCTTGCCTCTCATAAATTCTCAGTGCAGACCTTGATTCTACTGGGAAGATGAAAGAAGAGTCTGGTAAACAGAATTAAAACAGGAACTGATATTTGGAGCATGTGAAAAGCTGGTTTTGATTCTATCTGGTCCTAAGATGTGACACAGTGGTTAGTAGTGCTGGGGTCCTGGGTTCCATTCCTGAGCTGGAGTGCTATCTGGGTGGAGTTTGTATGTTCTCCCCACGTTTGCATGAGTTTTCTGCAGGTGCTCTGGTTTCCTTCTCAGAGTCGAAGGACATCCTGGTAGGTTATTTGGCTTCAGGGAAACCTGGCCATAGGTGTGAGTGTGTAAGTATGTGCATGTCTGTGCTTGTGCCTGTCTGCCCTCTGATGGACTGGCATCCTGTCCAGGGTATACCACATGTTGCTTGGCAGGATAAGTTCCAGCTCCCCCAAGACCTTGAACTGGAAGAAGTTAGAAAATGGATAAATAGATAGCCGTAAGATTCCTATTTTTAACCAAGTTGCAATGGGAGGGCACACAAAAAATTAAAGTAGAGGCCCCATGTTTTAAAACATCTCAATGTGGTCCTAAATCAAACGTAATTAATAACTACAGCAATATCCGTGTCTGTGCGCACCTTTCTATACAGTACAAGACTCTTCACGATTAAAATAAATAACAGATACAAAAGATCTAATTAACTTATTAAAGGACCCAGTAAATTATAATGTGGCACTTCACTTGATCTAAACCTGCTCAACAATATCTGTCAGTCAGGGTCTGTTTAGGCTTAATGTGAACAAAACAAGGAGGGAGGCTGTTCTACAGGGTAATCCCATCAGTGAGAGGCTTGTCAAGAGGCTGCTTTACACATTCTGCACTGTTAATCTTTGGTTTACAAGTGAGTTGCCAACTGAAGATGTTGAACATCCTTGAGAAAAGACAGAAGAGCAATTATTATGGATTGAATGAGGTGCTTCCCTGTATTGGCCTCACATACAGAACTAAAGTCTAAGTCAAACTAAATCAGTCGAGTTTACAGGTGTGGCCAATCTTTAGAAACAGGTGACTTATAATTAATTGGATTGGGTCTCTCCCATACCAAGGCTGGTGAACCCTGCTTTACTAACCAAACTGTCAGACATGCAATATTAACATTATAAAGTAACTTTTGAGTCAGAAGAACAAACGACCAATATGGGAGAGCAAACATTAAGAAAGTAAGTGAAAGTAGTGATTTAAAAATTGTCTTTTTTTAGCAAAATGATGATGAACAGTATGGAGTGGTGTAAGAATTACAGCTCAAGTGCTGCTTACTTTTCACAATTTATAACAAATATGATACTGAGTTCAACTGTCTACGGTTCTGTTTTATGCCCTGAGGAGTGATTGTAAACAAAGCAAACCTTGTATTCTTCCCATGTGAAAACTTCTATTAAAACGCTCATTAACAGCTGAACTGCCTGTTTCGCATTAAATCGTCACATTACATTACTTAACAATCAAGGCTTTCTTTTTGTGTCGAGTGAAAAGTCATCAATTATGAAAAACAACACAGGGAGGGGAAAATAAAGAGGTGTAAAAATATTCTGAGGTTTCAGGGCTTTATCAATCACGCCTGCCATACTAGCGCCATTGTCTCCCAGCGCGCCACAGCCGGTAGGACAGGCACACGCTGCACAATCAGAAAAGACACTTGCCGAGTAAATGAAACACAATGAAGATACGCAGACAATCAAACTTACTAAGAACAGCAAAACATGAACATGGATCTGACTTCCAAAATTTTACATTTGTTTTAGGTACTAATGAATGAAAAACAGGGCCATGCGTATGACAGTTACAGCTTCTGGGGCTTAAGAAAAAGTTTAGGTTGCAGCACCCAACATTATTCATCGTCCTTATCTCCGCATGTAATGCACACAGGCACATTCCTGCAAAGAGACGTGAAAAACAAAAGCACAGGAGGAGGGCAGATTCCTGAGCTGCTCAACAAGCAGAGGCATTTGTTCAGAACATCAGCTGAGACCTATATTCTAGACCTACAATATTCACTCCTTGGACTGGAGGTCAGCAATTCACTTGGTTTTATAGGCAATTTAAAACACCCAGTGAATAACAACTTAACAAAAAAAGTAATATACACCCCTACATACTGTATATAAGCAAATATTTTGTGCCCCTGTGGCTGAAACAAAGATGGAACAAATAAAAATCATAAAAATGTAAAATTAATCACTCAAATCGTCTGGTCTCAGCCATTAGATGGTGTTTGTATTCCACCTAGTGGTTATGAGATGTAATTACATATTTAAGCAGTCAAGAAGGGCAACTAATAAACGCCATCTTCAAATGTTAGAAAGAACAAATTTCTAACAAATTAGAAAATTGTAATATATAAATATATTCTGATATCTTATTTAGTACTGATAAAGGTTTGACATTTAATGTGTTGCTTATACATTCTCAACCTTATTACCCCTGAACAGAGAAGAGTACAAGGGGATCTGATTTAAGTATTTTGGAGAAATACTTCCTCCGAATCAGCAATGAGACATGAACCAAGGGACAGGGAGAAACTGTGTGGAAGTGAAGTTAAAACTGAGAACAGGAGGCACTTTGTTTTACGTAAAGTGTTCTGGGAGTTTGGAACAAGCTACCCAGACATGTTGCTGAAGCAGACTGATCCTTGGATCAGTTAGCTACTAACTCACAAACCACTTAGACGGCTCAAACTGCACTCCTTTCACTAGTGAGCCGTATGCTCTCGTCACAAAAACCAGTTACCACTATTAACTTCAACCTAAAGCAGGCACAGTGGTTAGCATTGCTGCCTTTCAGCTCTCAGACCCTAGGTTCGATTTGTGTGTTCTCCCCATGTTTGCATGGGTTTCCCTCCACAGCCCAGACATACTGGTGGGTTAATTGGCTTTGGAAAAAGTTGGCCCTGGTGTGAGTGTGTGTTTGCCTCTTTGCCTGGGTGTGCCCTGCGATGGACTGGCGTTCCATCCGGGATGTACCCTTCCCTGCGCCCGCTGCTGGCCAGGCCAGGCCAGGCTCCGGCTCCCCCGCGACCCCGTATTGGATAAAGCGGTAGCAGATGGATGGATGGATGGATGAAGAGAGCACTTACTCCATAGGGATTCTGAACTGCACGGTATCAGGCGGCTGTTCTTTGCCAGGCCTCACCAGGGTCATGAAGAAATTGGTTCGAAATATCCTCAGCTGGGGGTTCCCGATCTGGTAGAGGGGATAGCTGCAAATAAAGAAAACAACCTCCAGCTCACCCCACACGTAGTACACCAGTGTGGGCACACTCCCTGCTCCAGGGCAAAGGAGTACATGTGGCATGTGAACAGGCACCTGGGACACCCTTGAACGCAAACACTGACAGAGGGTGTTTCGTTCATATTTAGCTCAATTTCAATACTGATCATGTCCAAAGTAATGTAACTAAGATGTTTGGGCCAGGTGCTGGAAGCCAGGTGTGTCTGCTTGTTTTTGTACCACTTTAATCTTAAAACAACCCAACTCACTTTACAGGCTTAACTGTCAATTTCAACTGTCAGTTAGTCCGCTTTCCCAGCTCCTCAGGTGTCTAATATCAAAAGTTGGGATCCTCGTTCCTTATTTTACAAGTTCTCTATCCTTTGTATTTCGATTCTATCTTCCTAAAGACTAAACTCCACCAGGAAAGTCTTAAATGAGCGATTTCCCATGATAACCCGAAACATCATCCTGCATCTTTCGGCTCGAATCGGTTTCAAGTAAATCAACTGCACTGTTTTTGAACCTACTGACAGAAAAATAAGTTTAAGTAGCACCATCCTAAGCTGTGACCTTAATAGACATGATTTAAGAATATCCATATAAAACCGTTTAAAATTTATCTCAATAGTAGCCATTGCCTCCCAGTATATTACAGAACGTCTCTGCACTATACTATTATTCGGACGTTCATCATGCTGAAGATTGTGCACTATATATTTTCGCTAAACGCAATGATACAGTGAAATATCTCAAGGAAGAACATTCAACGCATCACAACACGGAATTTATGGTAACGTCGTCGCCTATGTTTACAAATAGCTTCTGCAACAATTAAAAAAAAAACTTACATAACTCTCCTCGCCATGTTCAACTTATAACCACTCCAATTCAGAAAGTCCTGTTTATTTCTCCTTCTCACATGGGGAAATGTCACTATTTCCGGTTCCTCCACTTCGCCTGAAGGTCAAGAAGAGTCAAGAGAACAGAGGAAATCAGAGGCGCACAATATCGAAGAGATTATATTACAGCGCCCCCTGGTGCTTAGCAAACATTTTAAAACGAAATGTCGAAGCGAAGATCATGTTTAAGACATCGTATCTACTGTACAGTAAATTCAATTTTAGAATGTAATTAAGTGTTGTTAAAGAACAGTGCATACAGTCCTTATTAAAATATTCTTTAAGATCACAAAGTCTCTTGATCAAATACCTCACGCGATTAGGTTTTTCAGGACGGTACAATTAATCAGAATAAAATCAGAAATTATTTGACAATAACAGTTTAGAATATTAGGGAGGTTTATGAAAGCTAACCAGATTTAACTGCAACAGGGTTAACTTTGAAAGACTCCATAGGGCCCAGCTTCACTCCGTGGCTTGGTTAGTTAATATTAATGATAATTTTCCGTGTAATAATCATTTTCTCGGTCCAATGCAAAAGATTTTTGACACTTTTTCAGGTCCATGCGTTCTGCCTACTTGAACGTAATGTGAAGTTTCAATTGAATACCTTTAAATTTTTGAAAGTTTCCTCCGAGTATAGAAATAATAACTTTCTAAAAATTTGTCCTAATAACTCATCTGTTTAAGCTCTGGAACAAGTCTTTTCATTTAGGTCAGGGGAGATAAACCCTCCAATCAAATTACTCTTACAGTCCACCTTAAATCACCTGCTAGTTAAAGATTAGGAGAACTTGTTTAAGCGATTAAGCATTTAAAGATTTAATGAAGGAAACACTGGTCTTTGTGGGCGAAGACATACTGTATTTTGATTTATGTTCCAAATGAGTTAAGGTGTTCAAGAAATGATTGACTTCAAGGCTGCTTATAAAACCTTCTAGATTGGGACTCTCAAAGACCAGGATAGGAGATCCTGGAGAGCCATTACTTCACACATTATTGTATTCGCACATTCTTAAATTGAGTTTGCTGCGCATTGTATATTCTGTCAAACTTCCTTAAAACCCATCACAATACATATGGAAGATTAAAACATGACTCAGAAGCACCTGTCTCACCCTCTTCTGGGGAAGAAGGCTTGTATGTCACTGTAACTCATTAGCTTTGAACTCTTGGAAGATGTTTTCAACCTGTCTACTATACTTCCCAGGATCAGAGAAAGAACCTGGTGTTGCTCCATATGTTGCCAAAATGTTGGCAGAATAAAAATAATCGTAAGCATATCAACAGTATTCCAACAACTCTGCTGTACTGTATATGTCACAGGTGTTAGAAAGGCATGCCGTGGAATGGCCAGGAGAGCAATAAAGACCCTATGCATAGCGGCAAAACAAGGGCTTGCCCAGGCTCAGGAGGTCAGACAATGCTGGGTAGAACCCTATGCCCTCAGGCCGCGGAGGAAACGACCTGGTGCTAGACAGGTCTGAAGACATCTGAACCCTAAATGCTGAGCAAGCAGGAAAGGGTGACCTGGAAATATATAGGAAGGACAAGCAAAGCACAGGGAAACTAAGAACAGGACAGAGTAGGAGCGCCCTCTAGATGTAGTACGCTCCCCATTGCAGCTCCTGACGCCCCAAAAAACAAATGAGCTGCACAGCACTGGGGGGAGGAAAAACCTCATTTAACTGAAAGGAAACCTCCTCCAGGGTAAAAACCTTTATTGAGTAGAGGAAGGGGGAGCCGGGCAGGGCACCAGGGGAGTGAGACAAAAAAAAAACAGACAAAACCTGTAAAAAAGCACGCACAAGAAAAATAAACCTGGGAGACCAGGGCAACAGACCACACAAGAAAGACTCACAACAGATATTAACCAAGAGTCCAGGGAAACAGGGGTCACATGGACCAGGGAACAGGGAAACCAGGAAGTGAGAAAATCAAATACCAAGAGTAAAAAAAGTAACAACAAAAAACCTGGGAAAAAAAATAGAAAAACACTGCACATGGCAAAAAAAAAAGTTAAACATTCTGTCACGGATGTTGGGAGCGACTTCCCGTGGAAAGCCAGGTATTCGAACATGGATGTCGGGAAGGCATACCGCTGTATAACCTGCTCACAGGCATGGATGTCGGGAGTGGCATCCCGTGATTAGAATAGAATAGGAGCCACGGACTCCCAGAGGTTTCCTTTCAGTTAAATGAGGTTTTTCCTCCCCCCACTGCTGTGCAGCTCATTTGTTGTTTTGGGTGTCAGGAGCCAATCGTGAAGGGGGGGGGTGTACTGTCATTAGAATTAATAAGAATCCTATTTTGATTAGAATAATGAAAAAAAGGCCCAAAGCGATGCAGGGGAACAAAAAGAACCGCTCACGGGGTCAAGGTATGGCTCAGCATTCTGTCACAGATGTTGGAAAGGCATGGCCAGGAGAGCAATAAAGACCCTATGCGTAGCGCCAAAGTGAAGGTTTGCCCGGGCTCAGGAAGTCAGACGAAGTCGGGTAGAAACATATGCCTTCAAGCCGCGGAGGAGATGGCCTGGTGCTAGGCGGGTCTCAAGACATCCAAACCCTCAATGCTGTGCGAGCAGGAAAGGGTGACCCGGAAATATACAGGCACACACAAAGACAAACCGGAATGACAAGCAAAGCACAGGGAATTTATGAACAGGACAGAATTGGAGCGCCCCCTAGCTGTAGAGGGCGAGACAGTATGTCCCCCTAATAATAATTCAGTGTTTCACAGCTTTGGCATATGACATTTTTTATTACACATTGTGAGCATTTTACAGAGTGTGCAATGAATATTTAATTGTCAAAAAAGAAATGATCTATAAAAAATAAGGTTTAAAATTATTAGAATCTGCACCGTACAGTACCACACAGCATGTTTTATTTTTTTACAGACGCAGCATTTTGAACTTTCTCCAAAGCAAAGCTTAAATATTATACTGTATAATACATTTTATAAGTCATTTTGACACATTAATCTCACTTTTCTGTGACAATAAAATCAAATAAGAACATCTTAAGATTTGTCCACTAAAATATATTTCTCAATATGCCAGGTTTGCAATTAAGAAAGTAAACATAGAAAAACTAACTTTTCTAATTGGCAGCTCCTTTTTTAATTCTTTACTTCATCTTACATAATCACAAATTCACCATGATGCAGAACTTTCCCATGGTCTGGAAAACTACAATACATTCATGAGTCACAAAAATTCTGACGGATGATCAATCAAATACTCTTCAGTTGTGGGTTTGTATAAGAGTGCTAATTTGATAATTTTTTAAGTTTAAACTAAAAAAACAACCTTTGCGGAAGTAACAGGATAATGCAACAGGGGCCTGGAAATAATTGAAAGAGTGAGGTGTTTCACTGCCATTTTGAGCACAGCAGCATCAGTGCACAGAGAAGCAGACACATCAAACACATCAAAATGCAAATGGAGGAAAAGCCAGTGTGTTGGGCAATGCACTATCCCAGGATGTTGAGTGCATCCGTGAGAACACGCAGTTCATCCCTCGCAGATTCCAGCCCGCTCTTGATTTTCAGGGGATTGTCCAAAACCTCTATGCTGTAGGTGTATGGGTCAAACCTCACAGAAAATGGTCTCTTAATGCCTGCCACGTAAGCCCTGTAAGATAGTGGTTGTAAATTTACTGGTAATGTCAAAACAGTGCTTTAAGAAGCTGGAGATTAAGAACAGTTAAATCAATAACTGATGAGACTGCTCAATAACTGGTCACTATCTTATTAAAATCATCAGGAGGGATGGATAGACCAAGAACCTGAGGAGCCTGCCTGCAGAAGGAGACGTAGCGAGTTGTGATAACTCGGCGCCATTACCTGAGCTTCTCCTTGGCATCTGCAAAGCTCTCTGACACAAAGTACACTGGCTGGTACATCTGGTCCTGGTAGGGTTGGATGGCGGCAGCTTCTGGATCAAACTCTCTGAGCTCAGGCTCACTTGACAGAGAGTGCTGGCCACGAGAGATGAGCAGAAAAATCGTCACCTCAACCAAAAAGGCAACCACCTCACCTGCGCACATTGCTATCGCCAGAAGACTGTTTGACGAACCTCAGAAAGTCACATCAAGCTTTTGTTTTATTAATTAATTTGGTACAGTATGCACCATGGTAAAGTCATCAAGGGACCGAGATGGGGCTTCATGGGATGGCAATCTCAACAACAGTAGCACAAGTTGAGTGCTGTGGTCAGCCTGGGGAACTAGCCGACTGTGACTGAATTCCCCAAGCAATGGCGTACAATTGCCTGAGAGCTGCTGAGGGTGGGTTGGGATGAGTCAGCCAGGCTGTCAGCAGGGTCTCCTGCTGCCTGTGATATCGGAAAAGACGAGTGGCCCAAAGGTGGAAGGATGGGGGGAGTCAAGATGTAAAAAACTCACAACTGGTTTTACCAGTTGGCTGTTATAAAATCAGGATTGGAAATTTCATATTTGTTAAAAAATAATTGTAATACTCTATAAAATCTGTTAATTCCAGGTGGGGGTAAAGATACATAAAGACTTTTGAAGTGTCAGACATGCTCTGTCGTCACAGTTTTCAATCCCTGGCACTCACCACAAGCTCTCCATATGATGACAGCAGTCCTGCTCCGTAGGCCTTGATGACCCCCCCCTGCTTGCAGAGTCCAAACTCCACAGTGAACCAGTACAGCTGCAAATGGAGATTTCAAACACACTAGGAACTCAAACTATACGCAGTATAACAAAATATGATATGATATATCAATTCCTTTTAAATATCTTTGATTGTGTTGCTAGATTATATTGTAGTTTAAAAACCAGAGGCATGTCTCTGTTAAAATTAATAGTTGAGGTCTTACGCCTGAAAAAATGTCTATTCTTGTTTTTTGTACTAATTCCATGTATAAATTAAATGGTAAACACTGAGAAGGCATGCATAACTATTACCATAAAATGCGTTTTCTAAAAATCTGAACTATACAACACTATTTATTTTAAGTAGTCTAAATAGTAATAAATTCTACTTAGTATCAAGCAGAGTCTTGTCTATGGTCTTCTCACTTTACTGTATAAAATATAGTTACAATCCTCAGTTCATAACATGTTTGTAACATGGCTAATATATTGGAGAACTACGTCCTACACAGCAGAAACATGCATGCACAGTACACCTACTGTAGAAAGCTTTTCTATGTCTTCCTCTGAAGCTCCCAAAGACGCAAGGCCAATGTTCTGAAACACAGAAGATCCAGTTTAGCTCCTCAACTGAGGTATTACCATTTTTTTTGGAGGGGCACATCCATCAAACAGAGTAATGCAACTATTCAGATATTAAACATTCTTATGAGAAAGTAATTTCCTCCTAAAGATGAATTGCACGTAAGATGTAATGCATACTCAGGTAAATGTGATCCAGAGAGAGAGAAGGCTGATGTCACATATGTGACCAATCACACAGGGAAAACATTACCTGAGAAAACTGGGCGAATGTCTTGTCAGCTAGCATGGGGACATGGCCAAGAAGCTCATGTACGCAGTCTCTGCAAGGACATGAGATACAGGCTGACCACCTGACATCTGACTTGTACAAACTAGGGACAGCAAATCAGCTCCACACACTGCTAGTAACTGTGTGTGATGGGACCAGGATCTCAGAAATGCAACATTATATAAATTAGCTCTGTCAAATTAAATACATACAAAATAGTGCACTGGTCAAACTCCAGTAAGTGTTGGGTGTAGGATTTATTGTTTCCCATTCTACTTCAAGTTTCAGGTAACTGAATTTAATTAATTACTCAGCCAATTGGAAATAGATGAAAAAAATGATGTGGATGAATTCTAGGATTCACCTGACAGACTAGAAAGTGCACCAAACACAAAAGTACAGTAGTTACGGGAGCTGTCAAACAATTGGACAGAATAAGGAACCGGGTATGGGGGAACTGAAATCAGAACACTGAGGCCCTCTTGGACCCCAGTTTGATACCCTTGCATGGCATGATGCCTTTATGCTGAGTAAAGGCAGAAGCTCAAGCAGACTTCCAGGAAACTCACGGCTCTGGGGAATGCATGGGGGAGGAGGCATGGCGGATATACTGTGTGCACTGGAACACTCTGAATGCCAAGCTGGCCAGGAAGTCCCGGGCTGAGAGGAGACCTGCCACTGGACGAAGCTGGAACCCAGTCTTCTCTACAAAGAAGCAGGAAACAATCCTTTAAAACCCCCCATGTGGCTTTCCCATCAACCACCGCAGTGGAGGGGCAATGAAGGGGCAATGAAGGGCTCACAGTGGTGGGGTAAACCATGATGTAGTGGTTTGAGCATTTACAGCTGTCAGGAGCAGGGGGCTCTTTTTCAAAATGGACAAGGGAAGCAGAAAAGCTCATGACTCACTCCTGTCAACACAACCTCAATGAAATCAAGGCAACAAACCAGAAAATGTCCACTGCTCTATATTGGCTTACATGCAGAAATTGGAAGTGTACAAAAGGACTGTCCAATGGAACTCTTGTTTGCTTTCCCCATAGAACATATGCTGGCTGGGTTCTATCTCTTTCATGTTATTCTACACCTGCAAGAAAAGCCTCTGCATAGAGTTTAGAAGGTCAGTAGAGTAGGGGAATCTAAAAATCTAAAATTAAAAATCTTGTCAGGGAAATTTGAAAAGATGGAGTGGCAGAACATAATGCCAAAATTGAAATAATTTAAAATTAAGAGAAGATATATCAAATAAGACAGATCCAAACCACTGCTGCATATTCAGAAGAGTATTTGTCATAAATGGGAAGACGGTGATCCCTGATTCGTCTCTTATCTTTTTGACTCATTTTACTGTGATGACATGTTAAGAGTGCACCTTCAGAAACCTTGACACTTACTTATCAAACTTACTCAACACTTAAACCATCTGACACTTACAGTATGAGCTGATGATTTATTATGTCTGGACATTGCTTACAGTAGATTCAGAATCTTAATAAGTATTTTGTTCAAAAAGCAATCAATAGTGGATTGTTTGGGGTAGAAAATGATTTTTGAGCAGACCACAGAGACTCCAAAACTCTTGCTAGTCTACACTACACAGCTACACTTCCCACTATCTTCACTGTAACAGAACCCTGAATGGCGCAGCAGAGTAAAGTTTATTGTTGGAGCCAAGAGGTATGGAAAGTGGGGTAGTGTACCTTTGAGGAAACGTGACACATCCTCCAGCTGCGGAATGTTGTTCTCATTGTAGCCACAGTGTCTCTCCAGCAGCCTGAAGGCCTCCAGGTGTTCACTGCAGGCATGTGTGGAGTAAAGGTTCCGGAGAGTGGAGTACACTTCCTTCCTGCAGAAACCAAAAGACGGAAAACTTCATCCCTTCACGGTTTTCCGTAAGAATTATTGGGAATATCTAAAAATGTTCAAGTACAATATTTTGGTAGCTGAATTCTGCCACAACAAAATGTCTACTAATAATCTCAGGAAAGCAATAGGCTACACACCCTACACCGGAGGAAAAACAGTCATTTCTAAAGTCAAAGTTACTTTTTCCATGGTTTTAATTAAAGAAGAATTTTGAGAGAATGAGATGTACACACCATGTGCCGATTTCTTCCTCTGTGTACTCTATCCTGGGTATGAGGTCACCGCTGTAAAAGATTAAAAAACTTGAAGCTTAATTTTATTTATAATGATGTACAGCAGATGCCAATATGATCTCAACTGATGAGCTCTTGATTTCTTATTAGTAAAAAATTAAGGTAACCCCAGGCCACCACATTTGTTATTACAAGTCTATTACAAGCAACATTACTCTCATACCTCTTCAGTGTGCCACCTTCTACTGTATATAAGATGAATTCAATAGAATAGCAAAGGATATGTATGACTATAAATAACATGTTACATGTTAATAATAAGTAATACTACACTCTATGTTTTGTTTTATTCTTGTGAAAATGAAACGTTGAACTTTTTCAAAGGGTGCACATACAATTGTATTGTCCACCAAGACATTTGCAATTTCCCTGCCCACCAAGAAGATGACACAGAGCCTTTTGTTCTTTATATGTCAGAAGGAAATGTGGAATTGCTGTTTCTCTGTACAGCCCATACAGTTCCCAACTCAGCAAAGACACTAAAATAGCTTACTGAGCCCACCCTCACTGTGCAGAAACATTTATGTTTTAAAGCATGCAACAGTTGCTTACTGCTTGTAATTGAAGGCAATTTCTCCAATCGCTTTTCTGCGCTGCCTGTATATGGGATCTGAGTATCCCTAAATAAAAGACCAAGAGTAGTGGTTCAAAGTCATTATGATCAGGATATTAATAAGGTTGGCATAAACAAAACAGCAGCAGCAGCATCTTCTCTTTGTTACAGTACGTTCAGATATTTAGTCAAGTATTGAGTTCATATTCATTTGTATTAGAACCACAAACACACAGTATTTCTTTACAAGTAGCAAACAGTCCACTATCATTTTACTCACCGGATGGTCTTGATCAAGATCAGGATCAAATTTGGTTACCAAATGATGGCATTTGTCCAGTTCTGCGATTTTCTTCGGGAACCAGTGAACTGAACAGAAGGAAAAAGTCAAAATACATAGCTTATCTGCATACTACACATACACGGCGAAGACAGCAGGGACAGGGAAGTTGATAGCTCTGATGGCATGAACTACATTCCCCAGAAAGTTTCGGGGGAAGAGTTTGGGGAAGACGACCTCAGAACAGGAGGTTCCTGAATGGAGCTGGGGGTCTAGGTGATGTCAGATCCTCCTTGGGAAGCTGAAACATCCTGAGTAGACCTGGAGATTCTTTATGATGTTGAGTTCTTAAGTCAGGGAAAAGATTTGAGTTGAAGCTGGGAAGCAGCTTAGCTTCCCAGTGATATTGGTAGAGAGGGACCTGAAGTGAGTTATCAAGAAGCTCAAAGAGAAGCTAGGCTTTGTTGTGGATTTGTTTTGATTCGAGGAGGATCAGTAGAATAAATATTGTAAACAAAAGAGGTCTTGTTTTGTATGTTACATCAACTGTCTGTTTGTCTGTTTTCCTGGGACTCTTCCTGTAAAAAGATTGTTTTTTACTATGTTCCAAGTCCCTGGGGTTGGTAACATATTGTATACAGTACTGTATTCATAGCTTTCAGTGTCACGGAAGAGAAAAGGCTTCTCACATTTCTCCTCTTTGGTTGTTCTGACCTCTTCCGATATCCTTTTTACGGAGCTGATGAGCGTGCTGAGGTCTGACAGGTGCACCTCGCAGCGGACAAAGTATTCCAGCTCTCCCAGAGCGTCTTTAGGTTTTCTGCTGGGTCTGGTCTCGAGGTGATGAATTTTTGCTTCGAACGTCTGTCACACAAAAAAAAAAGGAGACTAGATAATAACTGCTGAGCAATACAGAAGCAGCGAGGGAGAGATCCCAGAGTGATTTATTTGTTTAGATGCATCTTAACCCTCATTGTTTATATGTTTTCTTTTGTATATTTTGTTAAATATTACATATTCTTATGAGAAAAACAATGTTCACGTATACATCGTTTTAAATAACGCGCACAGTCGAGACTGAAAGGGATTTTCTCAGATTAAAACCTGAAGGAAGTATGTGCTGTGATACTTGATAACAGGTATTTTTCCAAAGCCAAATGAGCATGTGCGTTTGTTGTTTTTGATCAACATCAAATGTCAATGGCAACATCTTGCCCTCTGCGCTCTCCGTGGTGCTGAAACTTCATTTAAAAGTGAAGATACGCCTCTGGTTCAGATAAATTCACACACATATAAAAAATAATAATAACATCGCACTGATTTCTTATGTGAGTTTGCAATTGACAGTTCAAAGTACTTTATATATTGAAAAGGTTAAATACATTTTCTGATTTGCCGCACATACAGAACAAACAATGCATTTCGCTACAAAACGCATCCTAAACAAATATTTCTGCAGTTTATAATACTTTTAAATGAGCACACATATAATCCAGAAGCTAATAAACAGCCGAACAATGCTTTCAAGCAAACGTGGAAGTACAGACGTTTTGTTTCACTTCCCTTAAAAAGCAGAAGAAAAAACGCAGTTTCAAGTTTTAATTCAATTTAGCCCATGTTCTAATTTATTCCAACACCACTTCTTGCTCTGTGGGCCAGGAAAATTGATTTATTCGTAATAATTTGACAGTATAGATTGAATTAACTGAATGGTAACAACATCTGATCCATGGCTGTCTGCGAAACATTCCCCGAAGCAACGGTTTTAACATAGAAATGCTATTATTCCATTGTCTAGTTTTATACCCTGTACACCTGGAGAGGATAAAAATTAGATAAAGAAAAGAGCAGCATTAATCTTTCCATCTCTGTAAGAGGAATATTTTTATCCCCCATTCTTCTTATTATTTACTTCCTCGGTGCATTGAAGTTGGATCAGTTCCGTCAAATGTTTCTTGGCGTTTCCAACATTTAAAATCTTCGTTGCAATAATTTTGATCAACACCATCGAATTAACACGATTTCGTCTTGTACAGCATAAGCAAGTGTAACAATTATGTCCATAACATTCTAACTTACAGCATTTAAACAACCGTCCTTCGAGATATAGCAAAAGGGTCAGTCTAAATGTAACCGCGAAATGATTTGTAACGAAACACAAAGCGACAGACAATAGTCGTTTACGTTTTATTCAATAAAAATTAAAACGAGCGTAACACAGCTGCACAGGTGCCTTTGCAATTTTTTTAAAAAGATCTATACTTCGTCGGGTTTCAGAATGTACTCGGAAAGTTCCTTAGGTTTTCAGAATGTTATTGATTTGCACACATAACGAGGTGTTGCCGAAACAAAAAAGATTGCAGTGCACCCGATCTGTTGAATTTTCATCTTAACCTCACACACACACACAAAAAAGGGCACAACTGCATTGTCATGTTTCTGTGTAAGACATGCGCACATGCTGTATGCTGTATTCAAAATAAACGCATATACACTGGAGATATTCGTGAGAAAGATAACCCCAGCTGTATTAAGATTACGGGTGACTTCTTGTTCTTACCTCGAAAACCTTCAATGCGCGGGACAAGGCGGGAATTTTGGAATTCCTGAGGGTGAAGAACAAGTTCAGCATGGCTTTGCCATCCTCTTCCTCGAACACGATTTGGTCGCCGGAGTCCGACGACTCCGCGGCGGCGGTTGCGGCGGCTTCTCGCTCTTTCCTCGCATCTTCTATCAGGCTCTGCCGCCTGCCCACGAACTTGGGAGACTTTGAGACAAACACCGAAATACTCACGCACGCTGAGAGTTAGGAACCAAGCGCGGGGAGCGGGGGGAGTTCGGGGGGTGCAGTTCAGTACGCTGCACATTCAAAGCCGAGCGACAGCACTCACCTGCGAGGCTTAAGCGGGACCGCACAATCCTACCGCGAACTGTGCGACTTGCACACATTTCACAAGTCTCAGAGCCGTTTCTAAGAAGCTAGGATGGACTGCACGGAGCTACTGTACAGTATCTGCTTTACACGCTGAGCTTTGGTCATATCACATAGTTGCGCACACAATAGTCACATTGAACCAACACATACAGTAGGTTAGAAATTCATGACCAGAGTTCCTTACATTAAATGTGGTGGGCTGGAAAGTTAAACACGCCAAATTAATCGTTGAACGAATCCGTTCTACAAGCCAAATGTATTATAATCTGTAAAATATCACTTTCCAAAATGCAATTAATAATTAAAAGCTTTGATGATACCTATCATATATAGCGCACACACTAACATTCCAGACGTCCCCTTTGCCCCAATATTGAGTACTTTAGTATAGAGCATTAATATAGTACAGAGTACTATATAGAAAGCCTAAACTTGAAGAAAACTGCCTAAACGCACAGTGAGATTAACAAACCAGCTACTTTCTTAGAAACACTAAGTAAATATAACACCCAGAATAAATAGTTATTTAATTCCGTTTTGGCGTGGAAAAGGATGCAGGTCCAATCATTTGCTTTTGGGTCGGCGAAAGTGTCAAATTCTTACCGTCACGGATTCCACCTGTTTCGAGTCGAGTTCAGAGGCTGCCCTGCGGAAGCTTTTCGTTGAAGAAGTGGAGCTGTTGGAAATGGGCATCGCTAGACTTTATGCTGGCAGTTCCCAGGCAGCAGTGCTTCCACACTAACTCTTCTTGCGTGCGCTCCGACCCTCTCCCATATTTATAGAGGTCATTTCTTTTTCCTGACGTCAATCCCCTCGATTTCCTTATCAACCAGCACAGCCTCTGTCACTCCTATTCCATTTAATTTAATTCATTCAATAGTTCGGGGACAAATATTATTTCCACCTTTTTTTTCCCCAGTTACATCAGGAGCTGTGCTTAACCAGGTCCAAATTTCAACATCTGCCCGCAGCAGAGTACCTGTGTTTGCTTCTCAAACGCGACCACGTTCACGAAAGGTCTTTAAGGCATGAAGCATGTGTGAGCTGAAGAATAAGGAATCCTTTTTCTAAAATTAGGTTTTACACGATTTACATTAAACATTTAACACTATGAGAGGGATGATGACTGAAAGTAAATGTACGTGTGAACAACGGATCTGAATGTAAGGAGTGCACAAGGTATACTGTTAACAAACATGACAAGCGTTTTCATGGTTATCTAATTAGAATGGTTCTACTGGACCTCATAAGGGGTCCAAAGGAAGCTGCATGAAACACATCCCTTCAAGGGCAGGAGTGGTGGGAGTCATTGTTTTGAAAGCTGTTAATGACCAGAGTATCTCTGGCTATGACAAAATGAGTACCCAATGCCTGCTAAAAAGCACTGCTTTTTATACCTGTTCTTAGGTGTATTAGAAGTGTTTGTTGCAGGTCTCATAGGTTCAGTTGAAGTTGCTAATACTGTACCTTGGCTGCAGACTATTCCATCCCAGAGTGTTAGAAAACATGCCAGGATAATATTGGTAGCAGGGAGGGAGTTTTGCAGCAAAATAAACCACAGTGCTCTCTATTTTTACACAGCTGAAGCTTTGATTCCTTCCAGATAATAAAAAAGTGAACTTCCCAGCACCGTTATGAGCAACCTTTCTCAGTGAAGCAAACGAAGTACACAGTCCACAAGGTAAATGACACTGATTACAATGTAAGATGCAGTTTATCTGTTGCATTCTGTTTATTTATGTACTGTACCTGCTCATTGCTGACATGTTAAGAGCTGAAAAGAAAAGGCTCAATTTTCTCAAATTAAGCCTTAATTAGCCCAATTCAATAGTTTTGGAACCCTCTGCAAAATCCGATTTTTAAACCTGCATCTTGGTTTCCATTTCTGCAGTGACATCAAGTGGGATTTTACCCTGTGCAGAAAACCCTCCGATAGTTAATATGAGGAAAACTTGATGCATGTGGCCCAAGGCATTTAGGCTAAAAGGATTAGAGACAGTCTTTGCTTTGAATGCTGCAACAGCTGGAATCCCTGCTTGAGCACCAAGGGTTATGTCTTTAGTGTACACAAGGAAAATGTTAAAGAGCACTGATGTTGCTGGAGGCTGGGAAACAAAAGAGTTGCATTTATTAGAAAGGACAGAGAAGCAGAAGGAGATAAAAGACTGGCATTAAGAAATACACCAAAAATATTCCACATGTCATTTCGATGTTCTGCATGAAATTCAGTTGAATCAACATCTTTCTTTTTTTAAATTTCACAAAATAAAAATGGAAAACACTGACTTTGACATTTATGCTATACTACGCAGCCAGGACCAGGGCTGAGTGAAATCCTGGCTGGCCGCAGTCTTCTGGTTTTTGATTCTATCTAGACTCTCAGTTACTTAATCAAATCCTTCTGTTTTTATGTCTAATTGGATAGGCATTAATTGTTTTTGTCTTTCTGAAAGATAGTTCAAAGATACTGTTGTGTCATATAAATGACAGAGTCCTGCTGTCTGTGAAAGAGGAGTCGTTTATTTCGTATGCATACAGGAGAGCAGCCTGCACTGGCCGGTCTCTCCGAACAGTTCTAAAGTGAGTAATTTTATACAGTGTAACAAACAAAGTTTGGTGCAGACAACACATAACGCAATATCCGATACAAATGTTAACACACAATTTTCTTGAGCTGGGTTAACAGAAAAACAATTCTATACATGGTAAGTTTTCAGAAAAGAGGATATGTGGTCGTTTCATGAGCTGTTGTGCTCATGTTATTCTTAGTCATCCTGAAACAGCACAAATCCTGTGGTGCTTGAAGGGGCTTGAAAACGAACAGTTTAATTCTTTGCCAAGAAGCAAGAAAGATTAAAGAAGAGTAGTTTAACATTTCTTAATTCCCTCAATACTAAGGACAGTGATTCCTGAAAACAAGAGCTAGGAAAGATAAATTAAATTCAGGGCTTGTTGTATTTACTTCAGAAATCAATACACTGTATATTTTATATATAGGCAGATATTATATAAAACATGAAGGAAACTGTATTTAAACCCATTTCCTTAACAGTTTTCTCAGTATAACTATATAAGTGTATATTTGTGTAACATGTCACATGAGTGTCAGATTCATAAGACTTGTGCCAATATCCGATATACTGAAAAGCCATAGAAAAATTATCCAGAAAATGAGACTAGTGCACTTCTTACCATAGGCTATTCAAAAATCCCCTTGACAACTTAATACAGTATGTATCAATGGTAGTATACTAAACTGGTTAAACAGATAAAGCATTGAAAATTGGGTTCCTGTAAAGATCTGCATGTAAATAATTGGCACATCTATTTAATGAGATTCACCATCTGATTTTGGGATGATGGAATAAACCCAAGACTAAATTATCATTATTTATTTTATTTACTTTCTTAGCTTACATGCTTAAACAGACAACATACAACACAGGGCAAGGTTAATAACAATCTGAAATACAGAAAGAAAGAAAAGACACTATGTCTTGGCTGTTAAGCCTTCCTCAGGTGTCAGACACTTTTACTTTCATTATACATTTCAGCCAGAAATTAATCTTGAATTGTTCCTTTGCAGCTCGCACACAGATGCAGTTCTCCCCTCAAACTTACAATACAAGCATGAAATTTCCATTAACATCATGCGCATATACAGGAAGAAGGTTAAAAATGAAAAAAATATAAAGTAGCAGAGCAATGGAAAGCAGACTGAAAGAGTATGATCCAAAACTGCATACAACTGCATTGGAGAACCTCAAGCAAGAATTAAGGCAGCCTCCATGTCAGTATGTGCCATGGCTCCTCATATTGCAAACATTAAATTGAATATCTACGACACATGGAAATAGAATAGAATAATTCAAAAAGATCTTGAATTAGACCAGTGAAATTATTATCTTTTTTCTGGCTGTTTTGGCTTGACATCTTCATTCCATCCAACACAACACCCACTCCACCTGCTGATAGGCAATACACCTTTTCACTCTATCTCAGCTTACTGTCTACAAACACTCCTGTCAGCTTCATTCTAACCAACTTCTGGCACAGATTGATAAGCCTGATGATTAAACCTCCCATGCTGTCTGCTCTTTGTTTTAAATGCCGTGTCTGATGAGGTGATGCAGTTCTCTGTCTTAGCATAGAGCCATTAAATGATTTTTTAAAGTTACAGAGAAACACAAACTGGCATTAGAACAACAATTATCCCAATCATGTATTGATTTCTATACTGCCCCCATGTACAGTGCTCTGTAGCTTTCCCACATAATTAGCAGATTTCAGACAAAATAATTACAATGTGCCCAGCTGGGCAATTATTTATGATCTTCCACCTTCTTTTTGTTATTGAAGGTTGCCTTTGTAGCTTTGATAAGACTTACCGGAAGCATAAAAAAGTTTAATAACACATAATAATACCTGAATATAAATATCAACAATATGCACATAAAAAACTAGACAACTATCCTTTTCCCTAAACTCTCATTGATGTTCAGTGAAAATGGATTTTGTGTTAAAATCTAAATTGCAACAATCTGTAGTTGCAGGGAGAGCATTAGCAGAAGGAAGCTGTTAGTTACAGGTGCACATTCAGCAGAGAGGCTTGGTAGACTGCTTTCTCTGCAAGACTCTGAGAGACTGCTAACAAACAGGGGGCTGAGGACAATATTCAACACAGGGCCAGTGCTTCAATATGTTTGGCCATGCGTTGCTCCAAAGAAATTGCAAATAAAATCCAAAACATCCAAGATCAATAAAAACAAACAAACAAACAAACAAACAAAAAAACACCTAATTTAACAACTCTCAACGTCAGTAACCCTGTTAATTCTCAAATGTGCTATGAGTCATGTCCAAAGACGTCATGTTTTAGTTTTTAAGGTTGGTTTTCAATATCTCCACTATGTATTTCAGAAGTTTTAATTGATCACTAAATACTGTTGGTGTCCATAAAAACTCCCACCTCAAAATCCACAAAGCATAATCAAAGACTTTTTATAAGTACTGCAAAGGTCTTCAGTTTTAATGTGAACTACACGTCTGTATGAAGTAGGGATTCAGCAGATATGTCTGGATTTACTGTATAAAGTCTCTAAGTCCAAGAACGTTAAATACAATGACAAAAACTAAAAGCACCCTTGTACAGTACCTGCATTTTCACTTTTCCAAGAGTAAATATGAAGCTACTCTTTGTAAGTTGAGTGGTTTTATTTAACTCAGAGGTAGCCTGTTACAGTATATTGAATGTGAATATTAATTTCATGCTAACGGAAAGAAATCCTGCTACCACAGCTTGTAAGAACTCCCTCAAAGCACGTGATGAGGTCTATAAAGTAATTGGGGTAACAGTGCCAGGTTATTCATTGGCTTAGTGTTTTCATGCTGCAAAATGATGTCCTTTGCCTTTCAGAGCTGGCTGCTTCCTCTTAGGAGTCACCACACGGTAAAGGAATCTCACCACATTTTCAACTCTATTATGACAAGCAGGTTCAATGCTGCAAAAATGATGTTGGGACTAACAACATCATTTTATTTATTAATGTATCTATAAACTTGTGAGGCTGATAAACCAGTATAGCCCTCCAGTGAAATGTATTCAGCAGAGAATTCAAAAATTCACTTAAATGTTTGACTCTCCATTGTATTTCTAGGTGAAAGCTCAGACTTTATTATTAAAGACGTGCACTGTATTTACTGAACAGAAGGTGCTTAGATGCTTAGCAGGATTTCTTTCCGTTAGCATGAAATTAATATTCACATTCAATATACTGTAACAGGCTACCTCTGAGTTAAATTTTGCTTTTTGCATACCAAAAGCTGGCTTTGTGCTGTATCCCAGCTGGCATGTGATGACTTTGTGTCACTCTGAGAGTTAGAAAATGAGCATAGTACAGTATTAGTATAGTATAAAATAGTATTTGCTTATGATAAATAAAGGCACTCAAGATAATAA